AGCAACACCACCCAATTTTAAATTCGAATCCGAAATACGAGAAAACAAAAGGGGGGGAGGCATAGCTGCAGTTTTTAGAGAGCACTTTGTCTCCCATAGAATGCCCCTTGGAAATTTTTCATCGTTTGAGTATATTTCTTTTAAAATGGAACAAAAGCAATCTTCTACTCTTTTCATTGTCCTGTACAGGCCACCACAGTCATGTTGCGATTTTATTGACCATTTTACTGAACTACTTTCATTCGTGTGCACAGATTTTGATAGTTTAGTTATTACAGGTGATTTTAATGTACATGTTGATAATGTTGATGACAGAAATGCAAAGGAGCTGGCTTCTGTATTTGAGACCTTTGGTTTCATTCAGCACGTGAGTGGCCCCACCCACAGCAGGGGGCACACTCTTGACCTGCTAATTACAAAGGGGGTTAATGTATCAAATGTTAATGTAGTTGATGTTGCTTTGTCAGATCATTTCTGTGTATTTTTTGACATGTGTTTTGCTAGCAAACCACCAGCTGAATTTACAATTGTTAGAAGAAGACACATACATGAAAACACAAGTGAACTGTTCATGGGAATGCTAAATTTTGAGAAAACTCCATGCTCTACTGTTGATGAATTGTATAACTCTGTCACCACCAGTGTTCTGACTGTTCTGGACGCCATTGCTCCTGTGACGGTTAAAATAGTTACCAGTAAGAAAAAGGCCCCATGGACTAAGGCAGACTCGGTCAGGGCACAGAAGCAAGAGTGCCGGAGGGCCGAACGGAAGTGGCGAAAGTCCAATTTCCAGAGCGATTATGAAATCTTTAAAGATGAGTTGGGTGAATTTAACCGGGTTCTACGAAGAACAAGAGAAATGTATTTTTCTGACATTATTGGAGGTTGCAGTAACAATTTTCGTGTTATGTTTTCAACAGTTGGTAGATTAACGAACCCCCCTGTAAAGTTGCCCCTAGAATTTTCCTCTAAATCTAGGTGTAATGAGTTCGCACAGTTTTTCGATGACAAAGTACAAGGAATCAAAAACACTATCACCTCCACAGCACGTATAACAATGCAACAGCCAGAGAAGCTTTTTGAGCTAACTCACTTTGCACCTGTGGATACTGAAACTGTCAAAAAGATAATCATGAGTCTGAGCTCCTCCACATGTAGCCTGGATATATTGCCCTCTAAATTTCTGAAGTCCGTCCTGAGCAGTTTGTTACCTTCACTGACACAAATAGTAAACATGTCTCTGTCGTCAGGAACATTTCCTATGGCCCTAAAAACAGCAGTCATAAGACCTCTCCTAAAAAAGAGCAGTCTGGATCCTGCGGGACTTCAAAATTATCGCCCCATATCGAATCTGCCATTCATTGGAAAAATTCTGGAAAAAGTGGCCTCCCAACAACTTACTGAATTTTTAACAATGAATAATTCTTTTGATATGTTCCAGTCTGGGTTTAGACCCCACCACAGCACTGAGACCGCTCTAGTGAAGGTAACAAACGACATTCGACTTCACACTGATGCAGGTAAAGTCACAGTTTTGGTCATGTTAGATCTTAGTGCAGCGTTCGACACTGTCGACCATGAGATCCTCATGCAGAGACTGGAGGACTGGGTTGGTGTCACTGGCACAGCCCTAGACTGGTTTAGGTCTTACCTGGAGGATAGGAAGTACTTTGTGGAGATTGGAGACTGCGTCTCAGATCATGTGGCCCTGACCTGTGGAGTACCACAGGGGTCGATCCTGGGACCTCTCCTATTTAATCTCTACATGCTGCCGTTAGGTCAGTTAATACAAAGAAACAAAGTGTCCTACCACAATTACGCTGACAACACTCAGATCTATGTCTCACTGACTGCAGGAGAACATGGACCACTGGATTTGCTCCTTCACTGTATCCAACAGATCAGTGACTGGATGCAAAATAATTTCCTCCAGCTAAATGCAGACAAAACCGAAATCATTGTCTTTGGTCCCCGGAAACAAAGAGAGGGCGTCATCTGTCAACTTCAGTCTCTCTCCCTACTTCCTTCAGACAAGGTCAGAAATTTGGGGGTAATACTGGACTCAGACCTAAATTTCAATAGCCACATAAAATCAATAACATCAACAGCTTTTTACCATCTGAAGAACATTGCCAAAGTTAGAAATATAGTGTCCAGGGCAGACTTGGAGATTCTTGTCCATGCATTTGTCTCCAGCAGGCTAGACTACTGCAATGGCCTGCTTACAGGTCTGTCCAAACAGACCTGTAAGCAGCTGCAGTACATCCAAAATGCAGCAGCTAGAGTCCTGACAGGAACCAGGAAGTATGACCATATTAGTCCGGTCCTCAGGTCTCTGCACTGGCTTCCTGTGGCTCAAAGAATAGATTTTAAAACAGCTCTGCTTGTGTACAAGTCTCTCCATGGCCTTGCACCAGAATACATTAGTGACATGTTGGTGTCATATGAACCAGCCCGGACTCTGAGGAGCACAGGGACTGGACTCCTGCTGGGACTCTGAGGAGCACAGGGACTGGCCTCCTGCTGGTGCCCAGAGTGAGAACCAAACATGGGGAGGCTGCGTTTCAGATCCATGCAGCTAAGATCTGGAACAATCTCCCTGAAAATGTGAGGGAGGCGTCTACTCTGTCAATGTTCAAATCCAGGTTAAAGACTGTTCTGTTTGCCTGTGCATACAACTGAAGGATTTTATCTCCATTTCTAATGCACTGCTGTCATTTATTTATTTTTTTAAATTTCTTGTGTAACTTTGAAAGTTTTAATGGTTTTATTCTTTTGTGTGATTTTATTGTTTTAATTGTGTTTTAATCTTTTGTGTGATTTTAATGTTTTAATTGTGATTCTGGTGTTTGTTTTATGTGATGATTTGTGATGTGGACTGTGAAGCGCTTTGTGTTGCCCTGTGTATGAAAGGCGCTCTACAAATAAACTTTGATTGATTGATTAAATTGACCTCCTGGCCTTAAATCTTGATATAAAATAAGTCATTTGATTAATTCTAATATTACGGGCAAGTCCCGCCTTCCCTGCTCTTAGCTATAGTTCAGAATCCACGGTGCCGTCGAGGTTAACCAATCGAGTCATGCCAAGGGCTGTCAATCATCGGCGCTGATGCTCGTAGCTGCTCATGCTCAGTTGTTTGTTTTCGCGGAGCCTCCGAATCAAGCCTCCATTAGGCTCTGGAACTACATGAAAACTGAACAAAGAATTCTGAACATCCGCGCTGAGGTACTTATGTATATTCTGAACATCCATAATCAGATCCTCTGCAGATGTGTCCTATAATGTGCAATTCATAAAAATAGCACTTCCTGGTTTGCCGCGATCGCTTTTTTTGTGCATAAAAACATTTTTTTCATTAAAACGTTCACAAATAATTCTGAAAACCTCCGTGCATGTGTATTAATAATGTATATGTATAATGTGTTTTCTGATTAACATTTCAAAGTGTTACGGAAACCTAGGTGTAGAACAATCAGAAAGGAAGGGGGAGGAGCTTGCGTCGTTTTTTTCAAATCAAGTACCTCTCTGTCTCTCTTTCTGACAAACTCCAGACAATCACTTTAATTTTTATATCTTTATGTTTGAAGCCTGAAATGTGGCGAAATGTTGAAATGTTGAAGGGGGCCGAATACTTTCGCAAGGCACTGTATGTTCATGTGTGTGTGAATGTGTGTGTTCATGTATGTGTGTGTGAATGTGTATGTTCGTGTGTGTGTGTGTGAATGTGTGTGTTCATGTACATGTTCATGTGTGTGTGAATGTGTGTGTGAATGTGTGTGTGTGTGTGTGTGTATGTGTGTGTTCATGTATGTGTTCGTGTGTGTGTGAATGTAAATGTTCATGTGTGTGTGTGTATGTGTGTGTTCATGTATATGTTCGTGTGTGTGTGAATGTAAATGTTCATGTGTGTGTGTGTGAATATGTATGTTCATGTGTGTGTGAATGTAAATGTTCATGTGTGTGTGTGTGAATGTAAATGTTCATGTGTGTGTGTGTGAATATGTATGTTCATGTGTGTGTGAATGTGTATGTTCATGTGTGTGTGTGAATGTATACGTGTGTTCATGTATATATTCATGTGTGTGTGTTCATATGTGTGTGTACATGTGTCTGAATGTGTGTGTTCATGTGTGTAAATGTGTGTGTGTGTGTGTGTGAATGTGTGTGTTCATGTGTGTTTATGTGTGTATTCATGTGTGTGTGTGAATGTGTCTGTTCATGTGTTTGAATGTGTGTGTGAATGTGTGGAAATGTGTGTGCGAATGTGTGTGTGTGTGCGTTCATGTGTGTGAAAGTGTGTGTTCATGTGGGTTCATTTGTATTTGTGTGTGTGTGTGTGTGTGTGTGAATGTGTGTGTTCATGTGGGTTCATTTGTATTTATGTGTGTGAATGTGTGTGTTCATGTATGTTTATGTGTGTATTCATGTGTGAGTTCATGAGTGTGTGTGTGCGTGTTTGTGTGTGTTCATGTGTGTTTGTGTGTTCATGTGAGTTTATGTGGGTTTATGTATGTGTTTATGTGTGTGTCCATGTGTATGTGAATGTGTGTGTGTTGGTACATTCTATGGATTCACTGGTTACAATGTGAAATTTAAACCTTTCGCCCCCTCCTCTCTCTCTGGTCTCTCTCTCTGCTCTCTCTGGTCTCTCTCTGGTCTCTCTCTGGTCTCTTTCTAGTCTCTCTCTCTGGTCTCTCTCTGGTCTCTCTCTCTGGTCTCTCTCTCCAGTCTCTCTCTCTGGTCTCTCTCTCTGGTCTCTCTCTCCAGTCTCTCTCTCTGGTCTCTCTCTCTCTGGTGTCTCTCTCTCTGGTGTCTCTCTCTCTGGTCTCTATCTGGTCTCTCTCTCTCTGGTCTCTATCTGGTCTCTCTCTCTCTGGTCTCTCTCTGGTCTCTATCTCTGGTCTCTCTCTCTCTGGTGTCTCTCGCTGGTCTCTCTCTGGTCTCTATCTCTGGTCTCTCTCTGGTCTCTCTTCTGATAGATTCTCTTCTTTCTTCAGATGACAACACGTTCCTCCACGATGTGTTACCGCCGCTGCCGGAGGTGTTGGCGTACGCTCCAGACCTGAGCTCCTCCCACTTCCACGCCCCCTCTCGCTGTAGCTCCTCCCACTGCCCCAACCCCCCTCACTGTAGCTCCTCCCACTTCCACGCCCCCTCCCGCTGTAGCTCCTCCCACAGCATGGAGTCTGCCCTGGACTCAGCGGAGCGGCCTGTCAGCTACACGTCCACCTCGTCCTCTGCCTCGTCCCGGGACAGTCACTGCTCTCTGGGGGGTCGCCACGCCCTGATGCAGGCACCCCCCTGCCAGGACCACCCAGACTCAGGGGCCATACGTCTGGAGCTGGTGCCGACCCAGCAGCTGCAGGACGAGGACCGCAAAGACTTGTGAGCTTCGGAACAATTCTTGATATTCATTGTTCTGATAAATTACTTTTTCTCTCATTTCTTCATTTCCAACATGTTCCTGAGATGTTCTTTCTCTTTGACTTTTGAGCTGAAGGAATTATGTTTCTGTGTTTAGTGACGGAAAAGGGACCAGGAGGGACCACCAGAGCCCCACCTCCGCTGAGCTCAAAGAGACCACAGAGCAGGGCCTCTCTCTGGGACAGAGGACCACCGAGCAGGGCCTCTCTCTGGGACAGAGGACCACCGAGCAGGGCCTCTCTCTGGGACAGAGGACCACAGAGCCGGGCCTCTCTCTGGGACAGAGGACCACAGAGCCGGGCCTCTCTCTGGGACAGAGGACCACAGAGCCGGGCCTCTCTCTGGGACAGAGCACCACAGAGCAGGGCCTCTCTCTGGGACAGAGCACCACAGAGCAGGGCCTCTCTCTGGGACAGAGGACCACAGAGCAGGGCCTCTCTCTGGGACAGAGCACCACAGAGCAGGGCCTCTCTCTGGGACAGAGCACCACAGAGCAGGGCCTCTCTCTGGGACAGAGGACCTACGTGGACCGTGTGGTGCAGGAGATACTGGAGACAGAGAGGACGTATGTGCGCGACCTGCAGAGCATTGTGGAGGTAGGACTCGTTCTGGTCCAGTGGGAGTCTGTGTCCTCCACCCACTGTTCTAAGATCTATGTCTTGCTAGTAACACTGTACTTACTGTAGTTTGTCTCGTTAGTAACACTGTACTTACTGTTGTTTGACTCGTTAGGAACACTGTACTTACTGTAGTTTGTCTCGTTAGTAACACTGTACTTACTGTAGTTTGTCTCGTTAGTAACACTGTACTTACTGTAGTTTGTCTCGTTAGTAACACTGTACTTACTGTAGTTTGTCTCGTTAGTAACACTGTACTTACTGTAGTTTGACTCGTTAGTAACACTGTACTTACTGTAGTTTGTCCTCGTTAGTAACACTGTACTTACTGTTGTTTGACTCGTTAGTAACACTGTACTTACTGTAGTTTGTCTCGTTAGTAACACTGTACTTACTGTAGTTTGTCTCGTTAGTAACACTGTACTTACTGTAGTTTGTCTCGTTAGTAACACTGTACTTACTGTAGTTTGACTCGTTAGTAACACTGTACTTACTGTAGTTTGTCTCGTTAGGAACACTGTACTTACTGTTGTTTGACTCGTTAGTAACACTGTACTTACTGTAGTTTGTCTCGTTAGTAACACTGTACTTACTGTTGTTTGACTCGTTAGTAACACTGTACTTACTGTAGTTTGTCTCGTTAGTAACACTGTACTTACTGTAGTTTGTCTCGTTAGTAACACTGTACTTACTGTAGTTTGTCTCGTTAGTAACACTGTACTTACTGTTGTTTGACTCGTTAGTAACACTGTACTTACTGTAGTTTGTCTCGTTAGTAACACTGTACTTACTGTTGTTTGACTCGTTAGGAACACTGTACTTACTGTAGTTTGTCTCGTTAGTAACACTGTACTTACTGTAGTTTGTCTCGTTAGTAACACTGTACTTACTGTAGTTTGTCTCGTTAGTAACACTGTACTTACTGTTGTTTGACTCGTTAGTAACACTGTACTTACTGTAGTTTGTCTCGTTAGTAACACTGTACTTACTGTAGTTTGTCTCGTTAGTAACACTGTACTTACTGTAGTTTGTCTCGTTAGTAACACTGTACTTACTGTTGTTTGACTCGTTAGTAACACTGTACTTACTGTAGTTTGTCTCGTTAGTAACACTGTACTTACTGTTGTTTGACTCGTTAGGAACACTGTACTTACTGTAGTTTGTCTCGTTAGTAACACTGTACTTACTGTAGTTTGTCTCGTTAGTAACACTGTACTTACTGTAGTTTGTCTCGTTAGTAACACTGTACTTACTGTAGTTTGTCTCGTTAGTAACACTGTACTTACTGTAGTTTGACTCGTTAGTAACACTGTACTTACTGTAGTTTGTCTCGTTAGTAACACTGTACTTACTGTTGTTTGACTCGTTAGTAACACTGTACTTACTGTAGTTTGTCTCGTTAGTAACACTGTACTTACTGTAGTTTGTCTCGTTAGTAACACTGTACTTACTGTAGTTTGTCTCGTTAGTAACACTGTACTTACTGTAGTTTGACTCGTTAGTAACACTGTACTTACTGTAGTTTGTCTCGTTAGGAACACTGTACTTACTGTTGTTTGACTCGTTAGTAACACTGTACTTACTGTAGTTTGTCTCGTTAGTAACACTGTACTTACTGTTGTTTGACTCGTTAGGAACACTGTACTTACTGTAGTTTGTCTCGTTAGGAACACTGTACTTACTGTTGTTTGACTCGTTAGTAACACTGTACTTACTGTAGTTTGTCTCGTTAGTAACACTGTACTTACTGTAGTTTGTCTCGTTAGTAACACTGTACTTACTGTAGTTTGTCTCGTTAGTAACACTGTACTTACTGTTGTTTGACTCGTTAGTAACACTGTACTTACTGTAGTTTGTCTCGTTAGTAACACTGTACTTACTGTAGTTTGACTCGTTAGTAACACTGTACTTACTGTAGTTTGTCTCGTTAGTAACACTGTACTTACTGTAGTTTGTCTCGTTAGTAACACTGTACTTACTGTTGTTTGACTCGTTAGGAACACTGTACTTACTGTAGTTTGTCTCGTTAGTAACACTGTACTTACTGTAGTTTGTCTCGTTAGTAACACTGTACTTACTGTTGTTTGACTCGTTAGTAACACTGTACTTACTGTTGTTTGACTCGTTAGTAACACTGTACTTACTGTAGTTTGTCTCGTTAGGAACACTGTACTTACTGTAGTTTGTCTCGTTAGTAACACTGTACTTACTGTTGTTTGACTCGTTAGGAACACTGTACTTACTGTAGTTTGTCTCGTTAGTAACACTGTACTTACTGTAGTTTGTCTCGTTAGGAACACTGTACTTACTGTTGTTTGTCTCGTTAGGAACACTGTACTTACTGTAGTTTGTCTCGTTAGGAACACTGTACTTACTGTTGTTTGTCTCGTTAGTAACACTGTACTTACTGTTGTTTGACTCGTTAGTAACACTGTACTTACTGTAGTTTGTCTCGTTAGGAACACTGTACTTACTGTTGTTTGACTCGTTAGTAACACTGTACTTACTGTTGTTTGACTCGTTAGTAACACTGTACTTACTGTTGTTTGACTCGTTAGGAACACTGTACTTACTGTAGTTTGTCTCGTTAGTAACACTGTACTTACTGTAGTTTGTCTCGTTAGTAACACTGTACTTACTGTTGTTTGTCTCGTTAGTAACACTGTACTTACTGTAGTTTGTCTCGTTAGTAACACTGTACTTACTGTTGTTTGACTCGTTAGTAACACTGTACTTACTGTAGTTTGTCTCGTTAGTAACACTGTACTTACTGTTGTTTGTCTCGTTAGTAACACTGTACTTACTGTAGTTTGTCTCGTTAGTAACACTGTACTTACTGTTGTTTGTCTCGTTAGTAACACTGTACTTACTGTAGTTTGTCTCGTTAGTAACACTGTACTTACTGTAGTTTGTCTCGTTAGTAACACTGTACTTACTGTTGTTTGACTCGTTAGGAACACTGTACTTACTGTAGTTTGTCTCGTTAGGAACACTGTACTTACTGTTGTTTGACTCGTTAGTAACACTGTACTTACTGTTGTTTGTCTCGTTAGGAACACTGTACTTACTGTTGTTTGACTCGTTAGTAACACTGTACTTACTGTTGTTTGACTCGTTAGTAACACTGTACTTACTGTTGTTTGTCTCGTTAGTAACACTGTACTTACTGTTGTTTGACTCGTTAGGAACACTGTACTTACTGTAGTTTGTCTCGTTAGTAACACTGTACTTACTGTTGTTTGACTCATTAGTAACACTGTACTTACTGTTGTTTGTCTCGTTAGTAACACTGTACTTACTGTTGTTTGACTCGTTAGTAACACTGTACTTACTGTTGTTTGTCTCGTTAGTAACACTGTACTTACTGTAGTTTGTCTCGTTAGGAACACTGTACTTACTGTTGTTTGACTCGTTAGTAACACTGTACTTACTGTTGTTTGTCTCGTTAGTAACACTGTACTTACTGTTGTTTGACTCGTTAGTAACACTGTACTTACTGTAGTTTGTCTCGTTAGGAACACTGTACTTACTGTTGTTTGACTCGTTAGTAACACTGTACTTACTGTTGTTTGTCTCGTTAGTAACACTGTACTTACTGTTGTTTGACTCGTTAGTAACACTGTACTTACTGTAGTTTGTCTCGTTAGTAACACTGTACTTACTGTAGTTTGACTCGTTAGTAACACTGTACTTACTGCTGAAAGATCAAGGCTATGCTCACACTCAGAGAGCAGCCGTCCTCCTGTGGACTCACCACCTGCAGAGGGTCAGTGAGGGGCTGGTGCTATGAGACTTGGGTGGCATCTCTGACTGCCACCCCCCTGACCCAGAAATGGATTAAAGGGTAGAAAATGGATGGATGGATGGATGGATATATATATATATATATATATATATATATATATATATATATATATATATATATATATATATATATATATATATATATATATATATATATATATATATATATAAATGATATAACCCTAACTCATGTGTTGCAGGAGTGTTTGCAGAGCATCTCAGAACAGTGTGGATCAGAGCTGAGCTCAGACGATCAGGAATCTCTGTTTGGAAACATCCAGGAAATCTACCACTTCAACAGGTAACACCGAGCCCCGCTGATCCAAGATTAGCAACAGGTAACACCGAGCCCCGCTGATCCAAGATTAGCAACAGGTAACACCGAGCCCCGCTGATCCAAGATTAGCAACAGGTAACACCGAGCCCCGCTGATCCAAGATTAGCAACAGGTAACACCGAGCCCCGCTGATCCAAGATTAGCAACAGGTAACACCGAGCCCCGCTGATCCAAGATTAGCAACAGGTAACACCGAGCCCCGCTGATCCAAGATTAGCAACAGGTAACACCGAGCCCCGCTGATCCAAGATTAGCAACAGGTAACACCGAGCCCCGCTGATCCAAGATTAGCAACAGGTAACACCGAGCCCCGCTGATCCAAGATTAGCAACAGGTAACACCGAGCCCCGCTGATCCAAGATTAGCAACAGGTAACACCGAGCCCCGCTGATCCAAGATTAGCAACAGGTAACACCGAGCCCCGCTGATCCAAGATTAGCAACAGGTAACACCGAGCCCCGCTGATCCAAGATTAGCAACAGGTAACACCGAGCCCCGCTGATCCAAGATTAGCAACAGGTAACACCGAGCCCCGCTGATCCAAGATTAGCAACAGGTAACACCGAGCCCCGCTGATCCAAGATTAGCAACAGGTAACACCGAGCCCCGCTGATCCAAGATTAGCAACAGGTAACACCGAGCCCCGCTGATCCAAGATTAGCAACAGGTAACACCGAGCCCCGCTGATCCAAGATTAGCAACAGGTAACACCGAGCCCCGCTGATCCAAGATTAGCAACAGGTAACACCGAGCCCCGCTGATCCAAGATTAGCAACAGGTAACACCGAGCCCCGCTGATCCAAGATTAGCAACAGGTAACACCGAGCCCCGCTGATCCAAGATTAGCAACAGGTAACACCGAGCCCCGCTGATCCAAGATTAGCAACAGGTAACACCGAGCCCCGCTGATCCAAGATTAGCAACAGGTAACACCGAGCCCCGCTGATCCAAGATTAGCAACAGGTAAACACCGAGCCCCGCTGATCCAAGATTAGCAACAGGTAACACCGAGCCCCGCTGATCCAAGATTAGCGCAACTCGCTTTTATTTGGGCATCGTCTTGTCTTCCCGGTTCTGTGCCGTGAATGATCTCCCATGATGCTTTTCTCCAAATACGCGTGTGTGGCTCTCATGCACATGCACAGAGGGGCTTGGCAGCGCTCTGACCAATCAGAGGGCAGCGTTCTGACCGATCAGAGCTGTTCATCAGAGCAGCAGCAGAAAATTGTGTATTTAAAGAAAACGGAAGGATTTAAGAAGAAAAAAAGTTCAGGACGACAAGGGACACTAAAATCCCCACAAAATCTGATCTTTATGAAAGCTGTAGGTTCTCTGTCAGGTTCTCTGTCAGGTTCTCTGTCAGGTTCTCTGTCAGGTTCTCTGTCAGGTTCTCTGTCAGGTTCTCTGTCAGGTTCTCTGTCAGGTTCTCTGTCAGGTTCTCTGTCAGGTTCTCTGTCAGGTTCTCTGTCAGGTGTCAGTTTACAATGAGTTCTAAGGGACATTTTTCTGGGTAGCCCTCGTGAATTTAGTTTGCAGTACCACGAGCGCCCCCTGTGGCCATGGGTGGGACAGCTGTAAGATAGTAATACTCTATCCTGTTATTATTATAGATCCATGGTATTACACACACACACACATAACATATGTACACACACACACATATAACATATATATACACACACACACATAACATATGTACACACACACACATATAACATATATATACACACACACACATAACATATATACACACACACATATATAACATATATATACACACACACACATATAACATATATATACACACACACAAATAACATATGTACACACACACACATATAACATATATATACACACACACACATAACATATATACACACACACACACATATAACATATATATACACACACACACATATAACATATATATACACACACACACATAACATATGTACACACATATAACATATATACACACACACACATAACATATATACACACACACACATATAACATATATATACACACACACACATAACATATATACACACACACACACATAACATATATACACACACACACATATAACATATATATACACACACACACATAACATATGTACACACACACACACATATAACATATACACACACACACACACACACACACACACACATAACATATGTACACACACACACATATAACATATATATACACACACACACATATAACATATATATACACACACACACATAACATATATACACACACACACATATAACATATATATACACACACACACATATAACATATATATACACACACACACATAACATATGTACACACACACATATAACATATATATACACACACACACATATAACATATATATACACACACACACATAACATATGTACACACACACATATAACATATATATACACACACACACATAACATATGTACACACACACATATAACATATATATACACACACACACATATAACATATATATACACACACACACATAACATATGTACACACACACATATAACATATATATACACACACACACACACATATTCAAAAATTCACAGTGAGCTGCAGATGCTACTTATGCAACAGATGCTACAGATGCAACAGATGCTACAGATGCTACAGATGCTACAGATGCTACAGATGCTACAGATGCTACAGATGCTACAGATGCTACAGATGCTACAGATGCAACATATGCTACATATGCTACATATGCTACAGATGCTACAGATGCTACAGATGCAACATATGCTACATATGCTACATATGCTACAGATGCTACAGATGCAACAGATGCAACAGATGCTACATATGCTACATATGCTACATATGCTACATATGCTACATATGCTACATATGCTACAGATGCTACAGATGCAACAGATGCAACATATGCTACATATGCTACATATGCTACAGATGCTACAGATGCTACAGATGCAACATATGCTACATATGCTACATATGCTACAGATGCAACAGATGCAACATATGCTACATATGCTACATATGCTACAGATGCTACAGATGCAACAGATGCAACATATGCTACATATGCTACAGATGCTACAGATGCTACAGATGCAACAGATGCTACATATGCTACATATGCTACATATGCTACATATGCTACAGATGCTACAGATGCAACAGATGCAACATATGCTACATATGCTACAGATGCTACAGATGCTACAGATGCAACATATGCTACATATGCTACAGATGCTACAGATGCAACAGATGCAACATATGCTACATATGCTACATATGCTACAGATGCTACAGATGCAACAGATGCAACATATGCTACATATGCTACAGATGCTACAGATGCTACAGATGCAACAGATGCTACATATGCTACATATGCTACATATGCTACATATGCTACATATGCTACATATGCTACATATGCTACAGATGCTACAGATGCAACAGATGCAACATATGCTACATATGCTACATATGCTACAGATGCTACAGATGCTACAGATGCAACAGATGCTACATATGCTACATATGCTACATATGCTACATATGCTACATATGCTACATATGCTACATATGCTACAGATGCTACAGATGCTTCAGAGTCAGTCTCTCTAAACACAGCTCTGAGGTGTCTGTGTGTTCTTAGTTAGCGGGAAGCTAGTCATCAGGTAGCTAGTTAGCAGGTAGCTTGTTAGCAGGTAGCTTGTTAGCAGGTAGCTTGTTAGCAGGTAGCTAGTTAGCAGGTAGCTAGTTAGCAGGTAGCTAGTTAGCAGGTAGCTAGTTAGCAGGTAGCTAGTTAGCAGGTAGCTTGTTAGCAGGTAGCTTGTTAGCAGGTAGCTAGTTAGCAGGTAGCTTGTTAGCAGGTAGCTAGTTAGCAGGTAGCTTGTTAGCAGGTAGCTTGTTAGCAGGTAGCTAGTTAGCAGGTAGCTTGTTAGCCTCCTGTGTGTCTGCTGTTTAAATTCGGTCTGAATCGTCATAAACATCTTTTCTTCAGGAGCCTCCTTCAGGATCTGGAACGATGTGAGGCCGACCCTGTGGCCATCGCTGAGTGCTTCGTGACCAAGGTACAAACACTCTTTAGCTGATCACAGGTACAAACACTCTTTAGCTGATCACAGGTACAAACACTCTTTAGCTGATCACAGGTACAAACACTCTTTAGCTGATCACAGGTACAAACACTCTTTAGCTGATCACAGGTACAAACACTCTTTAGCTGATCACAGGTACAAACACTCTTTAGCTGATCACAGGTACAAACACTCTTTAGCTGATCACAGGTACAAACACTCTTTAGCTGATCACAGGGTACAAACACTCTTTAGCTGATCACAGGTACAAACACTCTTTAGCTGATCACAGGTACAAACACTCTTTACCTGATCACAGGTACAAACACTCTTTAGCTGATCACAGGTACAAACACTCTTTACCTGATCACAGGTACAAACTACACTAACCCTAACCCAGATCACAGGTACAAACACAGATCACAGGTACAAACACAGGCTCTCTTTTCCAGATCACAGGTACAAACACAAGCTCTCTTTTCCAGATCACAGGTACAAACACAGATCACAGGTACAAACACAGACACTCTTTACCAGATCACAGGTACAAACACAGACACTCTTTACCAGATCACAGGTACAAACACAGACACTCTTTACCAGATCACAGGTACAAACACAGATCACAGGTACAAACACAGATCACAGGTACAAACACAGACACTCTTTTCCAGATCACAGGTACAAACACAGGCTCTCTTTACCAGATCACAGGTACAAACACAGACACTCTTTACCAGATCACAGGTACAAACACAGATCACAGGTACAAACACAGGCTCTCTTTACCAGATCACAGGTACAAACACAGATCACAGGTACAAACACAGGCTCTCTTTACCAGATCACAGGTACAAACACAGACACTCATTTCCAGATCACAGGTACAAACACAGATCACAGGTACAAACACAGACACTCATTTCCAGATCACAGGTACAAACACAGACACTCTTTTCCAGATCACAGGTACAAACACAGGCTCTCTTTTCCAGATCACAGGTACAAACACAGACACTCTTTTCCAGATCACAGGTACAAACACAGGCTCACTTTACCAGATCACAGGTACAAACACAGACACTCATTTCCAGATCACAGGTACAAACACAGATCACAGGTACAGACACTCTTTACCAGATCACAGGTACAAACACAGGCTCTCTTTACCAGATCACAGGTACAAACACAGACACTCATTTCCAGATCACAGGTACAAACACAGATCACAGGTACAAACACAGATCACAGGTACAAACACAGGCTCTCTTTACCAGATCACAGGTACAAACACAGACACTCTTTACCAGATCACAGGTACAAACACAGGCTCTCTTTTCCAGATCACAGGTACAAACACAGATCACAGGTACAAACACAGACACTCATTTCCAGATCACAGGTACAAACACAGATCACAGGTACAAACACAGACACTCATTTCCAGATCACAGGTACAAACACAGACACTCTTTTCCAGATCACAGGTACAAACACAGGCTCTCTTTACCAGATCACAGGTACAAACACAGGCTCTCTTTACCAGATCACAGGTACAAACACAGATCACAGGTACAAACACAGACACTCATTTCCAGATCACAGGTACAAACACAGGCTCTCATTTCCAGATCACAGGTACAAACACAGATCACAGGTACAAACACAGGCTCTCTTTACCAGATCACAGGTACAAACACAGGCTCACTTTACCAGATCACAGGTACAAACACAGACACTCATTTCCAGATCACAGGTACAAACACAGATCACAGGTACAAACACAGGCTCTCTTTACCAGATCACAGGTACAAACACAGATCACAGGTACAAACACAGGCTCTCTTTACCAGATCACAGGTACAAACACAGACACTCATTTCCAGATCACAGGTACAAACACAGATCACAGGTACAAACACAGACACTCATTTCCAGATCACAGGTACAAACACAGATCACAGGTACAAACACAGACACTCATTTCCAGATCACAGGTACAAACACAGATCACAGGTACAAACACAGACACTCATTTCCAGATCACAGGTACAAACACAGAACCTCATTTCCAGATCACAGGTACAAACACAGGCTCTCTTTTCCAGATCACAGGTACAAACACAGGCTCTCTTTACCAGATCACAGGTACAAACACAGGCTCTCTTTACCAGATCACAGGTACAAACACAGACACTCATTTCCAGATCACAGGTACAAACACAGATCACAGGTACAAACACAGGCTCTCTTTCCAGATCACAGGTACAACCACAGATCACAGGTACAAACACAGGCTCTCTTTTCCAGATCACAGGTACAAACACAGGCTCTCTTTTCCAGATCACAGGTACAAACACAAGCTCTCTTTTCCAGATCACAGGTACAAACACAGATCACAGACAGCTCTCTTTTTCAAACAGATCACAGGTACAAACACAGGCTCTCTTTTACCAGATCACAGGTACAAACACAGACACTCATTTCCAGATCACAGGTACAAACACAGATCACAGGTACAAACACAGACACTCATTTCCAGATCACAGGTACAAACACAGGCTCTCTTTACCAGATCACAGGTACAAACACAGGCTCTCTTTACCAGATCACAGGTACAAACACAGATCACAGGTACAAACACAGACACTCATTTCCAGATCACAGGTACAAACACAGATCACAGGTACAAACTACACTAACCCTAACCCAGATCACAGGTACAAACACAGATCACAGGTACAAACACAGGCTCTCTTTTCCAGATCACAGGTACAAACACAGGCTCTCTTTTCCAGATCACAGGTACAAACACAGGCTCTCATTTCCAGATCAGAGACAGAGACTGTGATTTCACATCTACTTTACAGTTATGCAACAGTACCTGAGACCTCTGGTCTCTCTCTCTCTCTGGACTCTCTCTGGTCTCTCTCTGGACTCTCTCTGGTCTCTGGTCTCTCTCTGGTCTCTGGTCTCTCTCTGGACTCTCTCTGGTCTCTGGTCTCTCTCTGGTCTCTCTCTGGTCTCTCTCTGGTCTCTCTCTGGTCTCTCTCTGGTCTCTCTCTCTCTGGTCTCTCTCTCTGGTCTCTCACTGGTCTCTCTCTCTCTCTGGACTCTCTCTGGTCTCTGGTCTCTCTCTGGTCTCTCTCTCTGGTCTCTCACTGGTCTCTCTCTCTCTCTCTGGTCTCTCACTGGTCTCTCTCTGGTCTCTC